AGGCACTCTCTCTTGTGGTGAATGAAACCGTCATTAGCCCTCTGGGTGGTAAGCGAGCATTTGTTTGTGGCTACTACGTAATGTTAAAGGGTAGCAACCGAAAATAGCTTACTGAAGTACAAGGTTTATGGGTTCAACTGGAGCGGATCTAAATATGCCCTAACGTTTCAGTTTCCGGTTCATCCCAATATGCGTAAAATAGTGTATTTCAGCACCACAACGCCACACTATACACGTTGTACCTCACAAATGATCAGTTCAATTTCCGAAGAAACCGCTCTCTTTACGAGGCTGAAGATCACTTTGCTCTTGAGTACTACTGTCTTGTGTGGGATGGATCTTTGTCTCCCTCTTCCTTTTTCTTGATCACACTCTAAGTAAGGCCATTCGCGTTATCAACAATCTGCAGTTCATTGCTCACCGTCTAGTGGTCGTTTCCTCGCCTTTATTCTACCGGAACTATTTTTGTCCCTCAACCAGACTTGCCTGTTCGGTCGCTCTCCCACGTCCCGTGGTATGTTTTCCTGAATGTGGAATATTCAACATATACTTTGTAGTTATATGGGTCAGATCGATTTTCGCATACTTTCACCTGTTTCTTTTGTCTGAATGTAATTGGGTGATCGTTTCCTGACATCAGTATTGTTATCCATAGTCAAAACATTCCTTAGTCTGACTCTGTTGAAAACATTAGTGTCACTCTGACCCGTAACCCCTCTTGATTGCAAACGTCTCTACAGAAGTTCAAAAGCTGTCTCTATTCATACAGGTTCATGGACCCAGCTCTTCCCTAAAGCCATATTCTGAAGTTAGCGAATACTCGAATTCTTCCCCACTAACTATGCTATCTCATATTTTCCCCTGGTCTCAAGTACAAGTATTTTACTTTGATTTCCAGGTTTCTTAAAATTCATCGCGTTATTAAGAGGAATTTTGTTTGATTCTTTTTGCAGGCATTTTAGTGCATATTAAGGGTTTATTGATAGGATAACTTGTGATGGAAGGCACTGCCTGCATCACAACTTTACACAGCTGTTTTTATATCATACTGTAAAGATTGTCAACATTTGAGAATTCATCCTCGGCATCCCACGTTTTCTGACTTGACTTGTTCTTTACTGTATAGATTCAGTGCGACCTTGGACGATCTCTTGTCAGGAACGTGGAATCCATCTGTGCAGTCCAAATTTGAACAAGACCTCACACGAACACACTCAAAGCCTGCGGTTACTTCAGGTGGATCGTCCTTGGGTAACAGCTCGAGCGTGGCATCTGAATCGATGTCATTCATCACTCAACCGGATACAATATCGAGTGAATGTGTCTCAACTCATTCTTCTGCGGAAGATGATGCTCAAACCGGGGTGATTGGTTTGGACAATACACCCACCGCAACCAGCACCACTGAAGCTCTCATCAACGCCCCGTCTCCACCAACCACGCCGAAGTGCTTATTGGATGTGGACGAAATCATTGCGATTTTAGCTCAGCTTTTTGATGCTGTGGCAGAACTAGAACGCCTCGGGGTAGCACATCGAGACATCAAACCAAACAATATTTTGTTGAGACCAAGACCCCCTTTATCTGCCGACCAACGTTCTGATGTACGCCTTGCGCAATCAAATCGAGGCACGTTCGAGTATGACCGTAATTGGCTAGATGGTACGTTTTATCATAGTATTTTTTTGAATAGTTCTTGTATCTGGTAATGAATCTACGGTTATCTCGAGCGTTCCATCGCTACGAGACCGTACTGGCATAAGGACACGAAAATCCTGACCACAGCAAATAGACTTCCAAACTGTGGACCTAGGGATCAGTTTGATCGCTCATTAAAGACTGAATGATATGACTTTGTCGTAAACAATGGTGTCCGTCCGCCTACTCATTTCGTTCGTCCATTTTGTCGAATTGCGTTCCGTATGTTCAGTCTGATAGTGCTCCTAGTCAAGTTAAGTCAAGTAAAGCTTTATGCACCCGAAAGGATGAATTTTCAGCATTTCCAACAAGTTACAGTGGGGGAAACGGTAAGCATTGAAAAAGAAGAAATAAACGTTTACTAAGTGTAAAACAAACGGATTAGATAAAATCCTAATGTGACAGATGATTGTTCAAGTCAGTAATAATATTAGCTCGGTTGGCCAAGATACGAGCAAAATAATGGATCATACTGTTTTTGTGCGTGGTGGTGCGTACACAAAGAATCCGCAATTGGGAACGGGTACTCGTATGGGACACCGATTTATTGAGATGGGAGTGCAGGCAGTGTTCTTCATTGGACAGGATATGGCTGATAAATCGATCACATGAATCCAAATGCCTGTTCACAATAAAGTCAGCTAAAACGGTCTTTGAAATGCCGCTGCAACGAGAAAGAAGTTTAAGAGATCGGGAAAAGAGAATAAAGTCTTTCTCCTTCAGACCAGGAAAATCTACGGGGGAACAGTACAACCAATGTGGAAGAATGCATGCAGTCACAAATTTAAGAATTACGTTTAAGGGAACGCTGAGCTTTTTAAGCCTAAGAGCGTAGAAGGATAGTCTACGAACCCGAATATAAACGTTTTAAACATGTTTGGACCAAGAAAGATTGTGTGACGAAATGACTCTAATATATTTCACAGAGTTAGCTTTCGGGATGGTATTACTATTAACAAAAAGTTCAGGCTGATTACTCAAAAGAGTTTGATAAGACATGTCTGTTTTAGGGCTAAAAGAAACATCCACACATTTAGCACTAAGAATCGGGGAGTCGACCAACTAAAAATGTTATTTAGACAAACTTGAAGCTGATAGAAAAAATCAGGAACAGTTAAGGGACAGCCGACCACCACGTCATCGGCATACTTGCAGGCGATAAAGTTGGAAAGGTCCTTAAGATACAGTAAAAAAAGAAATGGAGACCAAATTGCACCCTGAAAGCTTCAGAGTTACCTTCTAGCAGGGAGGAAGATTTACCGTTACAAAAAGTGTATTGTGTCCGATGAGTGAAGTAATTAATTAGTACATTCAGTAAATTAGGTGCCGCATCACACTCCGAAAGACGTTGAATGAGAATGCCACGTGTTACAGAAGAGAACAAGCGAGTACGATCGAGAATAGAGAGAGAACACGTAAGTGGGAACGACACGCTTTACTCGTCTATTAATATCAGTACATGGGCTGAAAACTAAAAAGAACGACGTGATTAACAGCGTACGGAAACAGAACGAATAACAAACACGACATTCGCCCCGGCAGTGAGAAAAGGATGTTCGCTTTACAATTTCGCTAAAGATTAGTGGTTTGTTTGGAAGAAAAAGGAAAATAGTAGAAGGTAACTAGGCTTCTCTGTTTCATAGATTGTAAGGTCTCGTTCTTTGTTGTTTTTGTAAGATTTCTAACACATTGTCAGACACAGATGTCGGGACTGGGGAAGTGTTAAAATCTCATGATTAAGTGAGTTGTCTGTCGATCTAGGAGGCGGAGTTTCTAACTGTGTTTTACTGTCCGGCAAGTCGCAAGTTTCTGGTCTCGAAACCACT